AGTGCAGACAGTACATGACACCCAAATGAGCTGTTTTGTGATGAAATGAGAAATCATGGGACTATCTCGTTAAATAATTTCATCACTATAAGTAAGACGACTGTTAGAGTATATTATTCCTCTCAAGATATTAGAATAACTGTTTAAGGGAGGCCTATCTCCGCTTTATTTAAGATTACTGATCAGTGATCATAAAGCTTGTAAGGTTGTTTGCTAATGGGAATATCGCTTTAATTTCGCTTTAATTTTTCTGGCGTCATTGCATGTTTGCTTTCGGTACTTAACCTACTTTTAGCTTATTAGCGAATAGCTCCTTCGGTTTTGGAAGTGATATTCATTTTTCCTTCTTCTAAAGGATTTAGCTTTTCAAGTCGAGCCGGAAAGGTAAACATAACTTGTGACATTTGGCTTGAAGTTGCTCAACAATGTGCTTTCAGAGGTCGCATGTGTTGATGTTCGGGCGTGCGCAGGACATCTGGGGCAGAGAAAAAAAAGTTTAGCGTCTGTCATTTTGATTAAGGATCAATCGATCTGAGTCTCTCTCTTCCTTGTAAGTGGCTCAGGGAGAGAAAATGCTCGAAGCTTTTTTAGAATTCTATTGAGGTATGTTCGTCGGGCTCGTGGCGTAAACGAGACTTCGCTAGATTCACCCATATTAGGTCTCAAGGTTTATTGATTAGCTAGGTTAATTCAGTTCAGGTTTTGCCTGTCCTTTTTGTTAAAGAGATTAGTCAATCGGATTTAAGGCACGAACTTCCTGAGTTTGCATTAGGAGAGGTTATAATTCAGTTAATAATTTAGTCGATACCCGAAGCCTGAGTGTAGCACTAAAATTGGGACTGCAGCTCAATCGCTTTTATCAAAGCTCCTCAATAGAGCATTGATACGATATCCGCAGTACGACTGGGCTTTAAAAATAGATTGATTGGCATTCCGCGTGATAGGCATAATGTGTGGAGGAAGGTTTCTCGTAGCTGAGGCTCTCGTTGGCCCATAGCCGGGATGACGACAGAGATGAAGTATGTCTTTATCTCACACTCCACACTCACTCTGAGACGCTTACTAGCATCTCATTTTCGTAAAAATATACATGGAGATATAGAAAGAAGCAGCCGTCATGAACGTAGTTTTCTACAGCCATTCCCTTCTACAATCGTACTTTCCTACTATTTTACTTAACCCCGTTATGCATTACAAAGCAACAATTCAGGCCTCAAATGACGAGATTACAATTGCTTCGATCGGCTCAAACCAAGAAGCGAGATCAATTAATATCACTGCTACTCTGGTTAAAATGAAGGAGGTTACTCTTTTGATTGCAATAGCAATTCTCTGTTTGTTTCGCATCCACCAATGAGAGACAAAATATCAGCCCACCAAGCACTTAAACCCAGTATCAAAGGTGCTTTTCTTTTTGGCCAACGCGCCTCCCACGTTGATTGATAAACACTGTATGATTTATCTCTAAGTTGACTTTTGCCCTATTCAAACACGTTTTAAAGCTGTTTTTTTTTTTAACACGGTTGAATATTGTTTTCTTCATCGGTAGAAGACGCTTCAACCTGAAAGTTGAAAACCTATGGAAAATTTCGGTTTTCAATTCTCTGTTTCTAATTTTCATCCAGTTAAACCCCGTTTAACTAACCAGTGAATTGGGTGTGAGATACTTTTCCCAAGGAAAACTATATTTTTCACTTTTCTTCATTATCCCTCGCCCTGTTAAGACTTTGGCACCCAGTTTCTTTCATTTATTTATCGTTTATGACAATTTATCACTCACTCCCTTGGTAATGTTCACTTCCTAACTTAAACACATTCTACTCAAACTGTTCGTAAACATCAGAGCCTGTTTGCGCAAAATAACTGACCGTGAACAAAAGCGTTATATGTCAAGTTCCCCTTGTTTTTGTATCGAATACTTCTAAAACACAGCCTCCTCAATTTTAGTCTTCTCGACATTCCCGGGGCAAACACTCAGCTTATCACTGCCATCAATGCTGTCATCTCGCGTTTTCGGCGACATTTTTCTCTCCGCGGATAATTTAAAAGGAGTTTATCTCTCTCGTGGAATCCATGTTACGTAAGATGCTTTTAAGCACTTGATAAAGCTTAGGGACACAGATAAATGCAACGTCTTTCTCCGTCATTAAATTGACAATAAATTGATAAAAATTGATATAAGTTGATATGAATTGATATACAAGTCCCTTTATCTTGCTTAACAACATTGGCAACCGCTTTCCATCATAGTATCATTTTGCCGTAATGGAGGGGTTTATCCGGGGCGGATACCTCACCTTGATGGAAGTGATAAAACTGAAAGTTGAATTCTTTGACTTCTAGAGGATTCTCGATCCGACAAAGGGGCCTTTATTCAAAGTGATTTCAGGTAGTACAAACTGGTTAAGTATCAAACATCTACAAACTTCTCTAACGGACCGATGGTGATCGTTCATCACATGTTGCTTTGTATTATGGCTTATGTATTATGTATTATGAGATCTTAAATACTTTTGTTCTTGGGCCATCGTAATTTGATCAAAAATAAGACACAAACAGCAGTGATTTTGTAACCACTTTCCGTTCTCAAAAGTGTCATTTGTGAAAAAAAAAAAAAAAAAAAAAAAAAAATGCCAATGTTGACGCAGTGTTGACTGCATAGATAAATATTATTGAATTACTATCAAAGTGGAACCCTACCTGGAGAGAGCAACCTAAAATGTTGAATCATGCCCGCAGAAGTGTTAATGTAATCAAACAAAATTGTTGGGAAAATCTGTAGGGTGCATGGCTTTCCTTCCATTTGTATGATTACTTTTTTTGTTTTTTTGTTTTTTTTATTAAAAGAAACGCTTTTATTACTTGATATAGGTTCTCCAAGATGTCAAAGTACAGAAGCTTGTAAGTCTCCGCTTTCTGTATACTCGCTTCCTAAATCATTTCAACTTCCCGGAGTTAGTTATCGTGATATTCTCCACCACAGTTTTGGACTTCACCAGTATTTTACGAAACTGACTCAAACGGTTTTAAATAACATTTCAGGTTTGATATTGAACTTCTAGTTAGCACAGTCTTGCGCGGCTGCGCGAACGCAACACCGAATTTTCGTCGCGTGACTCATTAGCTCTTTACGATAATTTTATCATGTCGCGCTCTTAAATACAAACTCAGTCAGTGTTTCGGGTTCTAATCTCTCTGTTTAAGTATTCAATGATCATAAATGACTTACAAACTGAACAATAAACTCCAGCATTTCAAGAGCTCTAAAACTAATGTGAGAAGGCATTAACTGGAGCCAGAAATGAAGAACTTTGAAGAATCATGTTTTGCATTGGGGATAAGAACTTCCCGCTCATAACATATACACCCTCTTATTTCCTTCGCCCTTTCCTTAAACTATGGTCTCTCGTGTTTCCGGCTTTTCTTTCTTCCTCCCCTCCCTTGATATTTCCTTCCTTTCTTGCCTACCTATAAGTATCGCAATTGAACCGTGTCAGTCAGTGGAGGAATGAGATTTTTTTTAGACAGTTTCATTAGGACATGAAAGCTCTTTGCCTTGTCTCCCACGTCAGCCAAAACGAATACTGTATTGCTTTTAAAAAAGTCCTTAAAAATTTCCCCAGGTGGTTCCAAAAAAATAACAATTGTTAGCTAATGGCCTCAAGAGCAATAAAGTTTTTTTTTTATTTTCCCTAAGAGCAATGTGGGATGTAGAGGCAGGTGATCCTTTAATTGACTAGAAGAAATATCAAAAGTGAACTAGTTTATCTGCTTGCAGAGGACATTTTAAACCTGGAAATAATCTGAATTTTATGATGGGTAATTTGTTGTGCATTCAAAACACTAGGAGAAATTGTTTAAGATTCAAAGACTTACAGGTCTTTTGACAGCTTCGTGTATTAGCAACGCTTGACGATAAAGAAATACAGAAACACTTACTTAGTGAATAAAACAAATAGGTTACTTTACTTGGAAATAGTTTAATTTGTCTCAACCAAGAGTACTCACAAAATGCTTTTTGAACAAACGAACATAGCAGCAAAATATTATCAGTACATGGTAGAATTTTATACGTTATGATTTACAAAAAATGAGTGACAAAAGTTGGAATTCAGGCCAAAAGAGTGTATGAACTAGAAACTTAAACCAGTAAAAATAGGATAAAATTAAGGTCACGGTGTCGGCTACGCTTCTGTCATTTCAGTCGAGTTTTCTGTGAGCTAAATTAGCGCTGGGGAAAGACGCCAAGTTACGATTTCTATGTTTCCTGATCTTACTGAGCCTAACTCGCTATAACCTTGCTAGGAAATTAAATTGTAACCGTGATTTTCGCTCAGTCGGTTTCCACCCACATGTTTAGCATCGGATAAAACAGCGTGAATATCGGGTTAGGGCACGACTTATTTACTAAAATATCATTACACTCACGTAATTAGACATACCTTGCAGATACCTTATAAGACCCGAATATGTTTTGAACTTCAATTGATCATGTTTAGGATCTCGTAGTACATCGCTTCTTTGAACAACAAAAATTGTATTCTATAGCTGGAGGCTATTTTGAAAAAGGAAAAATAACCCCCGAGCATTATATATTTAAAAAAAATTCTGATAACATGATAAATATTTTACACCCCATCAAAAGTTTTTCAAATTGCATCTCAGTTTCATCAGAGTTTTTGGATCTTTGTGACTTTTGTTGCATGACTGGAATGGAAAAACATATCGATTCGTGGTAACAAACAACAGTTACTATATTTCCTTGTTTAAATCCTGATCCTAATATATGCCTAACTAAAGGTATTGAGTATGTTTGTGTACACGTTTCAAGCATTTTTTAATTTCTGCCTATCGATATATATGATCACTATAATCTAGGATGAAACTAGGGTACAAAAAGTACTGAACATTGATCCTTTGATTACAATTTTCATCAAAGATTTCTTAGGACTGTCACTTTTAATGATAGTAATAATATCAGTCTTAAAGTGTTTTGAAAAACCACCAAAACCACCAAGAAAAAACCCACCTGCAGGCAAAACCTGTGTAAATGTTTTCTCGACAAAATGAGAGACTACACGGTTACCCCAGAGGAAAAGCATAACGCACTGACAGGAAGAAAATCGATTAGTGAAAGGTCGCCATTTCTGAAATTAGGAAACAATAACTGGCGAGGAGTATTGTGTGTTTGGCGCGCTCAAGGTATTTTGTACTGTTTACATATACACACACGCGAGCTCTAACATTCAACCAACATCTAATTTCTTTTTTTTCTAGCCTCAAGTCCTATCTCGGGAAAACACTTAGGTAAAAAGTGGATTGCACGGTTTTGCTTCTAAAAGGCAGAATGCTACCGAACTGCGGGTTAAAAGTTTCAAAGCATTCAACACACAGGGAAAAAAGAGGGCACAAAAACAGCAAGTTGGTTTCGGGTAAAAGAAATGCTGAAATATCCTTGTGAGTCGGTTTCAACCATTACATAGAGACTGCTTTTTTCTACGAATCTCTCTACAGAGCCAATTTTATCTTGTCAACTCTTTTCTGAGTGGCTTTTATTTTCTTGGTATTATTTTCAAAATCATGCAGATTTTTGCCGCCGCTAGATAAGCTTCCTTGAATAAGACGATTTCTTATGATAAATAGTACTGCATGATACTTCAATAACAAAACATGTTAGTACATCGAATGTGTACTTACCGAGTTTATTCAGGTCGAAGATGCCAGGTTCTCTAGTGAGCTAGTACAGCGACTTATATCGGCCAGTTTTACAAGCGTTATTGTGATTGACAACCAATCAGAATTAACTCGCTTTAAACCACGTCACTTCTCGCATGTTACCTGTTAGAGTACAAATTGTAAAATGTAAATTTGTCTGTAATAGAGTAACTGAAAATCATTTTGACGCCAATGGTTCCGAATTCGTCGCTTATTACATATCTTGATCCCCTAGCATCAAAAAAACTTTTTCTCCATTGTCTTGTAAATAACGCGGATGAAAGGTGTAATACATATGTTGTGATTTTATGAATTAAAAAAAGCGAAATCAAAATTATTCTTTGCCATTTCCAGCTGTGTTTCCTTTATAGCTTTTATACGATCTATTACCGTGTGAACTCCAATATCTCAAACTGCAGTTACAGATTTAATCAACGTTTTATCTCGTCTTTGTCTTGACATGCAAATAACGACCTAACGTCATTAATTTCACCTTTGCTCGTGCATTTCCCGTGGTTAATTCTTAGTCTCTCTAGATCGCTCTCACTTAGCTCTTTAACTCTGTATCTTTCCGGCCCTTCTCGCAATTAACGATCTACTTTTAGCAATCATCCATACAACGGTGTCCTCCCTATCCTTGCGAATTAAACAAACAAAAGAATTGGGAAAAGAAGACAAAAGCCAAAAAATGGAAAAAGAACAATAATAAACCCAAATAATAACAAATAGTAAACACCACAGCGTACACTATTGAGTTATGGATGCACGCGGGAGGTTACTAAGCACGAAAGAAGCGTAAGAGTCGCTCGAGGCGATAGCCGAGAGCGACTCTAGCTTCTTGAGTGCTTAGCAAACCTCCCGCGTGCATCCATAACTCAATAGTGTACGCTGTGGTGTTTACCATTTGTTTTATAACATAACATTGATACATTGTAGCTAAAGAGTTCCCTTTTATTTAACAAATCTTACGCGACCAGAAAAAACAAGCGCGCGCGGAAAAATAGTCTTTGCATTTGCTCACGTCAGCAGCGTACACCCATGGG